AGAGTCTGTTTATGCTAGTGCCTTGATTTAAATAGTCTCTTGTTTTATTTGTTTACCAATCCAAGTGTGTACCAATCAATAAATTTTAGTTCTTTTGTTTTTGAAATCCATTCCTGTCTGTGTGACTCATTATAGGGAATGGTTGGTGGCAGTCTACCTGAAGTGTGAGAGAGCGTTGATGTAGTGTAACAGGCCTCCTTGGTGAAATAGAGAAGGAGGTTGTTACAAGCACCTTTTCAGCCAAGACAAGCACCTTCCAGGAAATACCAAGCACCTTTCAGACAACAGATCATGTTGAAAAGCACCTCTTCAATCAAGACAAGCCAATACAAGCACCTTTTGGGGGAAAGGGGGGCAGCAAAGGAGGGAGGGAACACCTTTTAAAAATCCAAAAATCAAAAATGTAAAAAAAAAAGCCCAAAAATAAAAATACAGTCCGTACAGCACTGTACCAGGCAATACCAGGCAGTACCAGGCAGTCTGAAGACTGTCTCCAAATCCACTCTCAAAACGCTGCAAAGAGCGAGGAAGAAGACAGGCACCCTTGAGTTCTCTCTTTTCCACCTTTTGTCGCCATATTGATTTCCCCCCTTATTAAATTAAGTAAATAAGGGATGCTTTAAGTCTTCTGTCAGCAGATTTTTTTTCTTTAAGGAGTGCTGTTTAAATCTTCTGTCAGCAAATGTCACTAAACTTTTCTTTTTCAGTCTTATTTACATATCCGATACAAGAGAGGGTGGAGCGTCCCTCAGAGATGAAGATTTTCACAGTCACCAAATCACAGCAATAAAAATTTAAAGGATCTGCAACACTTTGAAGCAAATAGGATTTGATATCAATATTTCAAGATAGTCACAGGAGTGAGACTTTTATCTTAGATTGTTCTCCTTTCATAACAAGGTGGTTTTCTCCCACTTCTCCTTTTTTCTCCTCTCTCTTCTTCTCCCAATCCAATCCGGGGGGGGGGGCTTACTTCTACTGTGACAGTAAGTTTTTTTTAAGTTAAAGTCCATTTTGCTCTTTTCTGTGTAGTTATTTGGCTCCATGGAACTTTTCCTTACATGAACAAATACTTTAACTTACTCAGAGTCTCTGGTTGACATATTTCCAATATCATTTTGCACTCTCTCACTCTCTGCTTGGGGTGTTCCCAGATCTTTGTCAAGATGGCTTCCTCCTCAGTCCATGCACTCAGATGTGACTTCGGAGGGGGAACCAGCCATCACTGTTTCCATTCCCCCTTTTGTCATCTCTGCTGCTTCAGACACTGCTTCTCCTAGCTGCATCCTCCCCCCTCCCGGTTTTGGGGGGGCGGAACCAAGGGGACCCAGTCAGTTTCAGGAGCTTGCCTGAAACCCGACTAGTTCTTGCCATGACAAAACCCTGCCTCTCAGGGATGGAACTCTTTTGTGCTCAATCACAGTTACTAGTCTTGGTCCCACTGTGGATGATGATAAATTGTAGCGTGTGAAACAAGATTTCAGCCTGTGCATTTTTACACATCTTTATATTTGCATAGTGAATATAGCTTTTAACAAAACCGAGGCCCAAATATTAAAACATATTTTGTACAAATGCAATTACCACTAGGATTGAAAGAATTCCAATGCATTTCATTCTATTTATCAGGAATCTGTAATACTACCAACATTTAATTTAAAGAAATCAGAAAATATACAAAACAGAAGCATGGATGAAAAGTGTATATTCTATGTGAAAAATAAAAATGAAGAAACCTCATGGTACAAAATGCTCAGGGAAAGAGCCTTTAGGAAAACAGGGAAATGGGAAATGAATATGCATCCTTTTACTAGACCTTATAAAAACATGATTATAATACTAAATCTGATATAGAGCAGTCATTTGCATATGGTTTCCCAGGGCATTTTACAGTATACCATGAAACTGCTTCATTGTTCTAAGTATTATTAACCTAGAACTCCCTTCTGGTATTGGTGGACCTCTTAATGCCAACATTCTTAATATTGATGGTTTGTGGCTCAATGGCACAGAAAGAGACCTAATCTACACTCTTTTATTGGTGATCTCAGTGTCGATGGTCTGGATGCTGATGGTTTACAACTTGATAGCCCTGAAGGAGACCTCGACCTAGTATATTTCTTGAGCTCATATCTGATCATAATCAGAGCATGCATGTCTGCAGACAGAAACAAAGAGGTAATATGGGGGAACCACTGGTCTTCCCCCTCTGGAGATGATCTTGAATATCATTTCCCCCTACCCATTATCTTTCTCACCGTCAGAATCTTGAAGCTGACTGAGAGTGAGGCTCAGAGGATCTATGTCTATTATTCAAACTAAGAGGGTTTTATTGAGCTCAAGTGAACTCAGTTCTCATCTGTAGACAAAAGAAGCATCCATGTTGCTTCTTGGTGACTGTGATTGGATTTGTTAAACAATTTGAACAGTTCCTTGGTGGATAGATTCTCTTCTTGCACATTAAAATTTTTATTTGATTTAACAGTAGGAGAATCAACAATAATTTCTGTGGGGTCAAATGACTTAACATTCAATAGCGGTTCCGTCTTGGACGTCAACTTTCTATTTAGTCTCTCATTATTTACTTCAGGGCTGGCCCAAAGTGTTCCTATGAGGCTTCCTCATAGCTCTGCTCTGGACTGCACATGTGGTTCCACAACAGGGGTGGTGGGCCCAATCCCCTTCTGGACAGGCACTGGTATGAGTAGGTCCCAGCCGGACCACCTTCTTCCAGGGGCCATGGCCTCAAGGAAAAACTATCACAATCCATTCTAGTGGATCTGGTACCACGTTGCCGGGTTTCCTCTCAGGTGGATCTGGTAGCAGGCCCCTCACTTTCAAATTGGGAAAATCTTCTAATGATTCACTTCTTATTTTATATGCCTTCTTTTGCTCTTTCCTTTCCCCTTCTTTTCCCAATCCTGGCTTCATGGTTATCCTAAACACTCTCATTCCTCCTTCTTTTCTTCCTCCCAGAGCGACAACAACTCCTCTTTATTGCCTCCTTTATTCTCCTCTGCCAAACAATCTTCCACCTCCCTTTTCCTCACACTTGGCCCCTCCTCTTTTTCTCCCTCTGTATTTGACTCCTTTCCCTTATCAGTCACACCCTTCTCCGTATTCTCTTTTGCTTCAGTCTTCATGGTTTGAAGGACAGCTCACTCACTGCTTTTCTTTCTACTTCTAACACTCCTTTACAGTGACATTTGTGTTTCTCCCCTAAGAGACCATTTTCCTTATTTGGCAGTGAGCCCAAGCAAACAATATTTTCAGTCTCCCTGGAATCAGAAGTAGACATTGGTATAGATAGGTGAACTACCGCAGATGCCTTCAGTCAATTAAGTGATGCTTATTTCTTATTTCTTTCCTTTTAACTCGTGCCATTTTGGGACTCTTTACCTTTAAATTAATTGTTAAAGGTGTAAGTTCTTTGATTTTATATTTCTCTGTTTTATCTATGTAAATTGTGTATATTTTAAATTGTTTCTATTTGTATGTTGTGAGCCGCCCAGAGTAGACCATGTCTAGATGGGTGGAATATATATAAATAAATAAATAAATAAATAAATAAATAAATAAATAAATAAATAAATAAATAAATAAATACATACATACATACATACATACATACATACATACATACATACATACATACATACATACATACATACATACATACATACATACATAAGTAAGTAAGTAAGTAAGTAAGTAAGTAAATAAATAAATAAATAAATAAATAGATAAATAAATAAATAAATGCCAACCATTTTTTCTTTCCTCTTAATTGGTTGTTGTGGATTTTTCTGGCTCTTTCGCCGTGTTCTGACGGTTGTTCTTCCTAACATTTCGCCAGTCTCTATGGCCAGCATCTTTCCTCTTGATTATTTTAGGCTTTGGATGTTCCATTTCTGAGAATTCCTTCCTTTTTTTCACTGACAAAGAGGTCAGTTTTGAAGGTTTTGGCAGCTTCAATGTAATAACATACCCAGGAACTTTGTTTTTTTTTTTTTTCAGTCTGAAAACTGAAATTTGATGCCATGAGGAATAGATTCTTGCTCATTTGAGTGAACAACCCCCATTATTCATTTTTTACAATGAAGTTTTACAAATAGAGGAAACTGCTGCCGATATTGATCTATAGAAATTGAATCTATCACCTCAAACAATTGTCACAGAAAAAAAGTATGGTGAACTTGTCTATTTTTGTGCACATTTGTGAAATTCTGGCAAATATTGCAGTTCTGCGTTTTATGACCTTCACTCAAGCACTGTAGGTACTTAATATGACTATTAGAAAATGGTATCTTGCCACTAGAATAAACTTAAAAGGAGTGGGAGGAACCACTCTGGCCATTTCACATCTCACCACCTCACCCCACCTCTGTTTTTGGTAGTGATGGTATGGCAATAGAGGGTGTGTTTATTGCTTGGGTAATAGGAGTTATTGCTCCACTTGTACAGGTACTATGTGTCATGTTGCCTTTGTCAAAACTTTGTTGGCAGTTTGGTGCATTGGGGTTGGATTCAACCTGCTATCCCAGGTTGTTAAAAGGAATCCTCTTGGAAGGAGCTGGGGCAAGGCCACGGCTCAGGTACTGTTAACACAGCCCTGCTTTCAGATAGCAGGGATCTATGGAGTGGTATATGCTCATCTGGTCTCCAGACAATTGCCACTCCTGGTGAAACCTTCAGCAGCTGCTGAAGGCGTTAGTGATGGACATCAGGAGGCAATCGGGTCACTTGATGCAATGGATCCAGTTTCCTGAATGCTCAGCCAGGGACTGCTGGTATAACCAATAAAGTTGGGGCCTTTTCTTCCAAAGAGAAGTGTGTTGGCTTCTTTGTACGTAGGTGTAGATAGCCCAGGGACTGCTCAGCACTAGGCCAACAATAATTGATTGGTAGGTTTTCTCCTATTAAAAGGCAGCTGCTGCTTCAGATAGGACTCTCTTTTTTGCCCCTGTTTATGTGTCCATGAAAAATCACCAAAACTGGCATCTGTTTAGTCACAAAATGAAGGTTTAATAAAAAGTCTAGTCCCCATCTGGGTTTAGCTCATCTCTAGTTAACACATTAATGCTATGAGTTAAAGGACCAAGCAAAACATTATAGTAACATATTTATGGGTTTGCACTCCAAAGTTTTGAAGTCACATTAAAGGAAAGGGGGAAAAGTAAAATGATAGAATGCAAAGCAAGGTTTTAAAAATAAACGAAGAATCAAATGAAACAGCGAGCCATCTTGTCAGGAACAGATTCTGCAGGTGTTATGGTTGGGATTGTTGGTACACTGAAGCAACTGAACTGGCCTGTTGTAACATGATAAAGAAATACATAAGCAAGTCTATTCATACAGTAGCTGTTTGGGTCAAGTTCAGTACAAGAAACTACAGATCGACTCAAGTACTCTACAATCTGTTTTGTATTACAATCCTTTATATGCTCATAACGTTAAGACAGTTCTCAATTATTTATACAATTACAACAGAATAAGGCACATTCTGCATATTCTTTTTAAATGCATTGATGATGTAAGAAAGCTTTGATTCTCTGTAAAAACTAAACCATGTTTGCTAATTTACTGGATTGAGCTGTACATCTGCAAAATCAGATAAAGAAAAGGCAGATCTCCAACATCCAGTGTTTACAGGGGAATCTATGTATTCCAAAAAAGAATTGTGTTAAGGCAGTTGTCAGTTTATAAAACAAGCAATTAGCAATAGCCTTAATTCTATGAAAGTCTCTAAGGACTATAAATAGGAATTGAAAGAGTGGCTTACATCTATGCAACATGAGTCTAATGGCATTTTTAACTTGTTCATTCAAGCAGCTGCACCAAATGCCGTATCATAGATTGCATTAAAACAAAACAAAACACTGAGTGTCAGCAAGTATCTGCACAGGGAATGTGTGTTTGATGAAAACTAGGTCTAAAGCCACCACAGCTCTCTGAACTAGTGTCCATGTCAAACTAATTTTCATATTGGTACTACCGCTACTGCTACTACTACTACTGTAGATCTCTATATAGTTCAGTTATGTTTAGAGACCATAAGCTCAGTTTTACAAGTGAATTATGCTAGTAATTTAAAATAGTCTGAAGGCTAAACCAGATGGGATACCAGCAGCCATACATTTCTTTTTATGTGCTAGCCCAGATAATAAAAGGTATAAATGGAAGAGAAGGGCTCACTTATCTCCCTTCTTAATGTACTTCCTTTGGACATTGTTCTTGTTTCAAGACTCTTTCTGTAATCAGAACTGAGAGTGGAGAGCAGGGCTCCCTAAACCAAACAACCTTGAGAACATAAGAGTACGAAAACAGAAAGTTGGGGAGACTACTTTTTTTGTGTACAACTTTTACTGTTCAACTCTCCTTTCACCGTCCAATTTGTATGTGAACTGACATGAGAATACAGGATTTCTGAATTTATTCAGTTTTACCTTTACTATTTTAAACAAGCTGATAACTAGCACATAAAATAATACAGCAAATTACCTGTAATTATCTTCACATGAGACACTTATTCGTCGGCTTTCCAGGATTTCTTTCAGCTTTGCTACAGAATGGCCTGTGCAAGATTCACTGGAAATAAAAGAAATCATGTTTCTGTTCCAAATGTCCTACCAAATGATAGTTGCCACTGTAATATTTACTGCTAGCTGTCTAGAGATTTGACATCATATGTTACAAGTAATAAGGAAATTAATGGGACCATAATAATGGTTCTTTTGACAACAATGGTTGAAATCCTGTTGTTTAGCATAACAAGGCAAACTAGAGTAGGCTCAGTGGGGATTTGATGAGTCATCTCCTTTGATTCAAATGAGCCTACTCTAGTTGTTATTTACTATGTAAAAGATCTCAGAGCATGGCACAATCAATGAAATTACCTTAAAAGAATCTAACAGTACCCAAATACGTCAGTGCAAATCACTATGCTAAGTAATAAGATTAGAGATACAGTGGTGCCTTGTAAATCCGGAGCTGGAGTCCCGGAGGCAGTTTGTGTCATTCTGCCAACTCCTGCGACGTCACTGGAACCAGTTGTACTGGCTCTTGCCTTTCCACTGGACTACTTCAGCGACATGGAGACGGGGGGATTTGCTGCTTGGGTAACAGCCTGTCCTCCATATTATTTTACCCAGGCTTCGTGCTCTGGAGAGGACACTCCAGCTTCGCATACAGCGTCGAAACAACACGGGAAGTAGCAGTTACCGGTTATAAGTCTCTGCTCAATTGGCATAGAGCAGGACGCCAGGGGCTACTTCTGACGGTGGGAGAGGTCATTGCACCTCACTAGGTAGATACCGCCCGCCTTAAGCTGGGCAGCCCCCAGCCAGTAAGGTGCTACCTCGCCACGGTCTGTTAACTTCACGGGGTGCGTGGGGTTTAGGGTCAAACCCGACAAGCAGATCGATAACCGTGCACCATGCAACAATCACAAGAAAACTTCTGCCCTTAAGCTGGGCACCTGGAATGTACGGACAATGACCCCTGGCTTTCCTGACTATGGCTTTCCTGACGACCTCCAAGAAATAGACGATATGCGCAAGACAGCTGTCATTGACATGGAATTAAGTAGACTACAGATGGACATTGTTGCCCTGCAAGAGACAAGATTGCCAGACTCGGGATCTGTCAAAGAAAAAAACTTCTCATTTTTCTGGCAGGGAAAACCATCGAATGAGACCAGGGAATATGGTGTTGGCTTTGCAGTCAGAAATACTCTCCTGAGATGCATTGTTCCACCTACTGTGGGGAGTGAAAGAATCCTGTCTCTGCAGCTCCACTCATCAGCAGGACCAGTAACCCTCATTAGTGCATATGCACCAACACTGTCATCCACTCCAGAAGTGAAAGACAAATTCTATGACGATCTGGCAGCTACTATC